GGGGGAGAGGGAAAGAGAGAGAGACAGAGGAGAGAGAGAGAGGGGAGAGGAGAGAGAGAGAGAGAGAGGAGAGAGAGGGAAAGAGAGAGACAGAGGAGAGAGAGAGAGGAGAGAGAGGAGAGAGAGAGAGAGAGAGGAGAGGGAGAGAGAGAGAGGGAAAGAGAGAGACAGAGGAGAGAGAGAGAGAGGGGAGAGGAGAGAGAGGAGAGAGAGAGAGAGAGAGAGGAGAGGGAGAGAGAGAGAGAGAGGGAAAGAGAGAGACAGGAGCGAGAGAGAGAGAGAGAGGGAAAGAGAGAGACAGAGGAGAGAGAGAGAGAGAGAGAGAGAGAGAGAGGAAAGAGAGAGAGACAGAGGAGAGAGAGAGAGAGGGAGAGGAGAGAGAGAGAGACAGAGGGAAAGAGAGAGAGACAGAGGAGAGAGAGAGAGAGGGGAGAGAGAGAGAGAGAGGGAAAGAGAGAGAAAGGGGAGAGGAGAGAGAGAGAGAGAGAGGGAGAGAGAGAGAGAGAGGAGAGAGAGAGAGATGGTGACTTGTTAAAGGAGCAGTCAAAAAGATGTTCAGTCAATTCAGTCTTAGTCCCAATCTAGCAAAACAGATTCACACAGGATTTAAGGTAAGCCTGAAATGTTCATCAGACAAATGTTCACACAGCGAGGAATGCATTCATTTGAAAATCGTTGTGAACATGCAGAGAGCTGCAGTGTTTCTGCACTTTTTTGTTTCTGCCTCTGAAGGGAAGTTTTTTCTCTCCACTGTAACTCTGTAAATGTTGGTGCTCATGATGGAGTAACGTTGGGTCTTTGTACCAGAACAACAAGTAAGGTCTTCTATCTGCTCTTTAGTAAAGCATCTCCAGATAACACTTGTTGTGAATTGGCGCTATACAGATAAAGACTGATTGATTTGTAATTTGTCCCCATATTTTGAAGATCTAGGCACACAGACTTATAGACCCTGAGAACGGATTTACATAGGGCCTTTTATTTTGTATTGTCTTTAGGGTCTCCCTGCAACACAACAAAACTACTGTCTGTGTTTCCATACATTAAAATCACATCAAAACAAACGACCTATAGGGCAGTACCTATTACAAATCTGACACTGAGAACAGGCTGGGAAGAAAAAACGGGGGAAAAGGAATTGAAGGATAAGACATGAGAAAGGTGGAGGGGTGGACAAGTAGGAATGAAAGGATAAAAAGAAGAGGTGGAGAGGTAAAAGGAAATATGGGAAAGAGCGCTATAGGGGAGATGAGAATAATGTTTAAAAAAAAGTAGGAAACAGACAGAAAGATGAGGAGGAAAAATAAATGAGGTGGGAGGTTAAGAAAGATTGCAAACTGAGAAGTAACAAATTGAACTGTAGAGTTCGAGGGTGGATGGAAAGAGAAGGTGTGGAAGTGAAAGAAACAGACGATAAGAACGTGTGGGGAGCCTGATGGAGAAGGAAGGAGTGGGCAAAAACACAGAGGGAGATGAAAAGATTGAAATAACGGTGGAGGTAGAAACAGTAAAACGGGATGAAGGGAAGAACAAAGGACAAAATAATTTAGAGAGAAAGGAAGAAACAGCAGTGAGCAGTAAAGAGACAGAGAGAGTGGGTGGATCGAGAGAAACAATTCCCTGTAAATGTTCTCAAGAGAGAGAAAGAGTGACAGGAAATAAAAGAGAGAAAGAGGGAGGAGAGACGCTCCCCTTGATGGGCAGGTGGAGGAAAGAAAAAAAAACCAACAACCCAAGACGGATTATCCACGAGAGGCAAGAGAACGAGGAACAGACTTTCATGCATGGAATCAAAGTACAACAAACCAGCCAAGTCCTCTAAAATGTAAATGAGCAGCTTCTTTCCAATATATGAGACATCGGCCGTGTGACACCTACTCACAGAGTGACTGACAGCCCGGGGAAATTAAAGAAAATCACATTGACTTTGTGAGAACCGCAGATAACTTAAATCCTTGATTGACAAAATATCACTTCCGCTGCGACAGTATATAATGAAGAGATTGAATTTGAAGAATGAATTATTCAAATGGTGACATTTTCCTTTGTGCAGAGACGGAGCTGTGCACACGTCTTCAGAGCCGCCAGCCGGCCTTCGATGCATTCTTTTGGCCAGTTCTCTTTACCCGGAGCATCTTTCAAAACACACACACAAATAAAGGAAGTGATGCAAGACCTTCATCCTGGTTCTTTGTGACAGGAGACGTCTCTTTCAAAACAGGCTGTCGTCAACAAACATTCAGCGTGAAGACGAGTCCTTGAGGAAGGTGCTAAAAGTGTCCCCAGCTGTTTCATAGTGTGTGAGCTTGACCTTTGATTCTGCTGTGAAGTGAGCAGGAAAAGAGGATCTAAGAGCGTGTCCACTGCAGAGAAAATGACCGCGTTGGCCTTGTGTTCAAACAACTTGTTGTCAGAGTGTAATATAGAAGCAGCAGCAGCATCACTTTAGCCAATTTCACACATGCACAAAACTTCTGCAAAATCTTAAGACATTTTCGGGGAGAGCAGAATGTTGGAACACAAACAGTCAACATTATTCATCCCGTCTTTATCCAGAAAGAGGAAGTCAGGGTGAGATGTTGTGTGAATACTGCAGGTATTACTCGAGACGATTCAGCCCGAGCACTGGGCGGGAGTGGCAATGTCTTTATCCTGCAACTGGAAGGAAGAATGTGTGACATCCAGTCTATCCTGTGTAAATGTCTCTCTGAGTCATGACTGTCTACAATGAGTGAGAGTCCCGCTGGCTGTGTTGTTGTCAGAGCCGTGTTTACATGGACGGAACGGCCGGCTCCTCCCCTTTGTATAAAAGATGTTTTACTCAAGGACTAGAGAAGAAGAAGAACATACTCACTGATTATTTGGATGTTACTACGAGTTTTTTGATCACGCTCATTCTGTGTCTGTTTACATGCAATGTGAAGCTACGAGCTAACTAAAGAGCGCTAACATTAGCATGCTAACACAACAATGCAGACTACAGGTGATTGCAGTCGGCTGCTTAATAGTTGCTTAAAAAACAGTTACGTTTTTAAATCTGCTGTCTCGTTTTCAAAGCAAAAAATCAAACTAACAAAGTGTTTAGTTTGAAAGGCATGGAAGTTGGTAAACCAATACGTGAAGCTATTTTTATGCTCCACTTCTTTATCTAATGATCAGGGTTATGGCGGCTGTGCAGGGCCAATTCTCTTTCTTTTTTTTTTTTAACTTTTTGCAACCAACTTCCCACTGAAACCCCCACAATGCCCCAAATCCATGACCCAAAACAAACCTCCCAGTGATTGGATTGACTGAGATCCAATCAAATAAGGAATTCTTATGTGACCAGATTTAGGGACTGAGCACATCCGTACACACAGCTGGCGAGGACGAGGCGGGAGTGCACACACTGTCAAACCCACCGGCTCACAAGCGCGCTCGCTCAATCATGCAAGAACCCCCCCCTCACTCACACCCACATGCGCTAGGTCTCTATCCGTGTGAGTGCATTGTGGGAAATCTGCCTTCTGGAGGAGGATGTTACATCACGGCATCAGCCAGCTTGGCGGGGCCCCGCTCGCCAAAATGGAGTTACCGTGGTTACAGCAGCGGAAAATTAAAACAACCCTTGCAGGGTTCAGAGTATTATGGAAATTCAAAAGCTAAGTTCAAGTTGTGAATGAGCTATGAGAAGAGAGGAGGTGTGAGTGTGTGTGTGTTGGTATATTTGTAGACGGTATAACGGTGGGGCAAGAAGGGGAAGCGCTCACACAGATGGATTCTGGGTGATTCTGTCTTTTCACTTTTTTCTTGTCTGATAATAAAAAGCATCCCGGTGTATGCACTCAACCTGAAGCTTTGGAGCGTTATTCAATCTGCTCCTGCAGGACGCTCTCTACAACTTTAACCTCACCCTCAACTGCTTACACACTCTCTTAAACTCAGATCCAGTGACCATTCACATAAACTGGGTAATGGCATGCAGAGGTAAGAATCACCAGACGCCCCACGATACGATATTATTGCAATTTTAAACATTTCGCAATATGCAGAGAATTGTGATTCAATACATTGCAATTTCACTTTTTTATCCATATTATGTCCACAACATTTAACTAAATCAAGAATTGTTTTGTCAAGTAATAACAAATTCTCAGTCTGTTCATCTCACTTTCAGTCTTAATTTTCATTGGCTACGAGAAATGTCAGTCATCGGTGTCAGTCATCGGCACAATTGCGTGTTATTGGCCGGCAGAACTGGGAGAGGCACCCACAGAGAGAGAGAGAGAGAGATTGAGGAATGACATGCAGGAAAGAAGGCACAGGTCGGATTTGAACCCGGGCCACCTGCTTGGAAACCGCAGCTTCCACACATTGAGCGCGCACGCACTAACCCCTGAGCCACCAGTGCCCCCAGTCTGTGTATCTTCATGGATTTAATGTGTTTGGATTCAAACTGTGTCTTGGGTTTACATTGTGAGGACTGGTCTTTGTGAGAATTCAGTAAGTCTTCAAATGGTAGATTAAAAGACGTAAAAAATGGTTGGTTTTCATTGTTGATGGTCTGACAGATGCGTAGATTGTGGCTGCTGTGGTGGTTTAATCCACACACACTTTTGCCATCAGTGTGTGTGCCTTCTAGTTTAGTTTATTTGTTTATTTGAGGGGACAGTGTACAAGAAAACACATAACAGAACAGAAGAAATGCTTTGTACCAGATTTAGCTAGCTAGCTAGCTAATTTCCATCTGTTGTCCTTGTCTTGTAATCTGACAAATCAAGAGGGACTATGTAAATCCTTAATCGTGGATAGGTCTAACTACTTGAGGCCACATTTGATTGTTTCCTGTTTTTTTTTCATAACTGCCTAAGATTTAGAGTTTTAAAGCACCTTTTAAATTAAGAATTTTACAGGGATCAACTATTTGAAAATGAAGACCATTCTGGTGGTCCAAAGTCAAAAGCGGTCTCATTCTGCACATTTAAGGTATTAAAAGGTACTCTTGGAGTCTCGACACTCACCCCGTTGGCTCGGCTCATGGCCTGGTAGTAGATGACGTAGCTCTTAGCCGGAGACAGCGGAGGATTCCAGAAGCCTCCGTAGCTCTTGTTGTCTCCCACCGTGAAAGGCTGAACGACTGTCAGACTTGACGGCGGCAGCTCAGCAGCGATGTAGTAAGACGAGTCCAGGATGGAGGCGTTCCGGAAGCTGACGGGGGCAGAGAAACACTCGGGAGCTTCGGAGGCAGCACGGCGGCTCTTTGATTTGCGCTCTTCCTTTACGACGAGCTGGTAGGAGCTGGAAACACAAAATACAGTCAGATTAGTACCTGCTCGGTTTGGTTGTCAAAGATCCGGCTGGTTTTGTAGCTTTATAACCAAACACACAAAAGAGAAAATGTAATATAAGGGAGGCCTGCAGTTCCTCTACTGTCCACTTGAGGCTGTTGGAAACAAACCCAGAAGCCACACACACAGTGATTCAAAAATGTCCAACGTCCAAGCAGGAATAAAACGTCTACAGCCTGGATCGAAACTCAACTTTGGTCTGAACAGCTCATTTCATGGTCGACACACACTGAACGAGAAAGGGCTCGTTGTAGCAGTTTGTTTGTCAGACGGCCCAGGTTCGAATCCTGTGGCTCCTTTCCCGCATGTCATTCCCCACTCTCTCTCTCCCTGATTTCTGACTCTATGTCTGTGTTGTTTTGATGTCGGAATTCCCGTCCTGCTCTATCTTTTCTGTGGTAAATTGATGCTCCGACATCCTGCAAAAATAGAAACCTTGTGTATCTGCTTCAGAGGACTCTGGACTGACAGAGCGGAGCCAGAGGAAGCACACACATTTGGTGGAATTTAGGCTTTAAGGCCCACCTCTGCTCCACCTCTTTGTCTGTTACTATAAACAGCATTTCCAATATGGCGACCGACATGGATTGGCCTCAAAAGTTTGCTTCAGAAATCAAAGTCACTGAGAATTTTTCCATGTTTTATACAGTCTGTTTATGGTATGTCCATGTTGATACTTATGCTCTTCGTGTTGCCATTTATTGGAAATCTTCCAATGAATTGTTTCCTTAGAAGTCTGTAAAAACCTCACGGTTATTTTATTTTTTGTAACGTTGTCTTTAGATTTTCTAAGATAAATTGTGCAACCAGTGACGTCGTCAACAAAACTTGCAACTCAATGTACAAAACCCTAAAGCATCCCTCTCTGCTGTCAAACCAATTCATGCTCCAGCTGGTGTTTAAAAAAAAAAAAAAAAAAGTTTGAAGATGTACTTCATCAACGGACAGAAACTTCTGAGGATGATACGTTGCGTCATACAACCAGAACTGCACTTTGTTTCACACTATTATCCTCATCCCCATTATTCAATCTCTACGGATCACCTGCTATTAAAAGCTTTCATTTCCAGAGTGCTCCATATCCATTTGGCCAATTAAAGCATTAGCAGAAGAGCGCTAAAAGAATTATCTGAAAATTGCCAACAACCTTTGAAACATGTAGAATTGGTTCCAAGGGTCACTTTCCTTATATATACGAATGGCTGGATCTACTTTGGAAGCAAATCTCAGTTCACTTTCTGACAGAGTAGCTGCAGATCGGGTGTGTGTGTGTGTGTGCTGACTCAGGAGCAAAGTGTGAAGTGTGTGTGTGTGTGTATCCAGGACTGTGTGTGTGCAGAAATAGATGAGGGTGTGCTCCTGCTAGCACGTTAGCATGTTCCTGTATGTGCTGCAGCTTCTACTTGTTCCAACAGGTGTGTTTATGTGTGTGTGTGTGTGTGTGTGTGTGTGTGTGTGTGTGTGTGTGTGTGTGTGTGTGTGAGATGCTTCATGAATGGCTGAGGGCTCCTTTAGCGGTCAGGACAAACACAGCAGCCCGCCGCAATTACCGCTGTCCTCAACGCCAAGAACTCACTTCACAATTATACGCAATTAGGGAAATGTATGTTTCTGTGCAGGGTGCCGCGGCCAATTATCCCCGCTCCAGTTTGGCCGCTTTTATAAAAAGATAATTGCGGCTGACCAAAGATGAGCCTTTTCTCTCTCTCTCTCTCTCTTGTCGTCTCTTTTGCTGTTCGCCGTCTTTCTCCTCAAATATCCATAACAGCTCTTAAGTCTGCACAAGAGAGGACGCCGAGGCCGGGTTCAAGACGCCCACGGGGGAGTCCTGAGTTTGTTTGTGTCTTTCCTGATATGTTGGGATCGACAGGTGATCCTGTGAGTGCTCCCCTGTGTGTCTCCTCGAGTGTTGCTGTTCTACGCTCTCTGTGAGAACGATCTTCTAGTTTGGGAAATTTTAAGTCATCTTGGAAAATAAAATTTACAAAGATGGCAAAACGATGACAGAACAGCTCCGACAGCATGAGAGCTCAGCTCACTCAGACTAAAGGTGAAGACGGCCTGTCCTCCATATTCTGACGCAAAACAAGAGCAAACTGTGTGGAGCAGGAAAACTATGTGGGTGTGTTCACGCCCGCTTATGATTAGTACAAACTCTTTTGTAGATAGGGTTCTAAAACGGGGGAATATTGTGGTTACTATTTCTGCACATTTTATGTTGCTATTAGAGGGCGTAATCCATTCAAAGTGGATCAGGTCCTCAATGTGATATCATGATTTTAGCTGACCTCAGTCAACCTCAGAAAGAGCCTGAACAACCACATAGATCTTCGTCCACCTCTCCCTAGGTGGGACCCAGGTTGGGAACAAATCTGTTTAACAAATTTTTGTGCAAGTGTCTTTAAGAGCATGTTTCAAGCTTTGATATTTTGCCGGGAAACTGGCTCCTTGAGCTCCTATCCCCCCCGGTTTGTCCCCTTCCTTCTTCTTATCCCATCTTCCTCTTTTCCATTTTTCAAGCCTGCCGCAGTTCATCATGAGTCTGATCTTCCTCAAGATTTTTGCCTCTTAAAAGGAAGTTTATTTATCCGCTGTAACTTTGCTAAATGTCGCTAAGTGCTCATGTGCACAACCTCGAGTTTGTTTTTTTACCTGCTTGAGATAACTTTAATTGCCATTTTACAAATAAAGATCTGGATCTTTCCAGCCCTGTTGCCTTTATTAGAGATGACAGCAGAAGAGAGACAGGAAATATTAGGAGGAGAAAGAGAGAGGGGGACGACATGCAGCACAGCGCCAAGGCTGGATTCATACCCACGGCCACTGCGACATGTATGCATTCTTTTATTATTTATACTCGCTGTCATATTTTTGGATCATGACGTTTGCTGTAAACTTGTTTTCAGTGACAAAAGTCAATGTCTATGTATCATTATCTTCTCAGTGTTTATGACATTTTGAACAAGCAGGTTCTTCCTCCCGTCCTATCATAACGGCACTCTGCTTCTGTTTTTACTTCTATATTGTGTACATTTTCATTTTCATCTACTTCTTATATTGTAAAGCTATTGAAGCAGCTTGTATTCCTTATAAATCTGTGTTATGCAATAACGAGATTCTGCTTTTAATTCCTCTGCAGTGAACGTGTAGCATTTTGTATTTCCATTCATTTTTATTTATGTGAGTAAATATGTTGACATCTTCTTTTAGCCTTTACAGCTGCCTCTCGCTCTCTCTCTCTCTCTCTCTCTCTCCCTCTCGTTCTGTTTTTCCTCATGAACATGTGTATGCATGTATGTAAATGTGTGAGTGTCTCAGTCTGAACAGCTGCTCCTCTCAGCACCGCCATTTCTGTAAACATCCTCCTCTAAGCTCCTGAACTTGAGACGCTCTGATCTCTCTGGAGTAAATAAAAAAAAACCATAACCGCTCCAGTCCAGAGAAAACATCAGCGTGCATGTTAACCAACAGATGCCTTCTTATATTCCGGCTTCTCCTCGTACATCAGCCGCCACTTTAAACATGTAAGACTTTCAGAAAACACTCGCATTAACCAAACACACGGGGCGCTGATCTTGGCTGATAAACACACACACACACACACACACACACACACACACACACTCAGTGATTTGAGTGCAGTCTTATTCTAAATTTTATGTATTTGCCTCATGTTGGTGATAAATGCTTCGATGTGGCGACGTTGGATTTACAGGAATTAACACTAACGCACTGACCCACGCTCACGTTCCACAAATCCATTTCCCAGAGTCCAAATTGAAGTGATATATATTCTCCACGCACCCATGTCCAGGCTGGATTTCCCTGAAGGCGACCGCAGAGTAATGTTCTCCCCTACACCAATTAAATGGATGAGATCACATGTTCAAAGGCAACTTTTAATTAAAAAACACGCCGGCTGAAAAAAGGGAGAAAGGGAGAAAGAATAAATTAGCTGTGTCCACTTTTAAAATAGAGGCATTGGACCGGGGACTGAAAGAATGAAAACTGGGTGTTTATTTGATTTTCTCCACCTTTTCTATTTAACTGTTTTTGTACCGGATCGTCGTGGTGAGCTGAGCCTGAAGGTAAAGCTCTCAATTTACCGGTCAATCTTCATTCCTAACCCTCACCTGTGGTCCTGAGCTCTGGGTAGTGACCGAATGACAATGTGGATGCAAGCAGTCAAAATGAGGGTGACTGGGCTCAGCCTTAGAGACAGGGTGAGGAGCTTAGACATTTGGGGGAAGCATCTAATCTGATGCCTCCTGATGTATGAGTTTGAGGTTTTCCGGGCACGCCCCAACTGGGAGGACTTGTTTGGGACTCCAGGGTAGAGTTCGCTTAAGGGGCTCGATATCCTGTAACATCTGGTCAAGGAATCCCCCAGGAGGAAAACAAGAGGGACATCTGGGTTGACTTTCTTCACCTGCTGCCACCGCGACCTGACCTCCGATAAGCAAATGTAAGAAAATGGATGCTATAACCTGATCCATAATGACTGATAATTCGGGGTCTAAAGGACTCAAAGTTTGAGAATTGCTCCAGGAGATTGCTCGAGACGGATGCTGCAGAGCAATCTCTGATGGCTGCAGCGTAATCTTTCTGATCGAAGTCATCCACCAACAACTGTGGTCGCCGAAAGGCTCAGATTAATATTCTAAGTGTCAACATCACAGAGAGGATCCCTGAAGAGAGAGAGGAAGATGATTTTTTTAATCAAAGACAGCTGTCGCCAGGTTGCTGGGGGGTGGAGCCGATCCTAGCTGTCATTGGGCGAGAGGCGGGGTTACACCCTGGATTGGCTGCCATTAATTCACTGGGCTAACGGGGATGTTTTGAACTGTGGGAGGAAGCCGGAGTAGACGGGGGATTCAAACCAGGAACCTCCTCACTGTGAGGCAACAGTGCTAACCACTGCACTAACACACACTTAAGTGTCCCTGTGATGATTATTGAATGATTCTGTATATTATGTGAAAAAAATCCCTTCAATGTTAACAAGCTGTCAGAGAGAAGTTTCTACAGATTTCTCATGTCAAGAGATTTGACATGAAGCCTCGTCGTCTCTTTATTTTGTGAGCTCCGATAAGTCGGCGGCTACAAAGCTTCCAGTGACTGATGGTGAAACTGTTTCTCAATTTAAAAGAAAATGAAGTCCATTCCTCTTGGTTCCTTTGCATACAAATTGGACGTATATGTGTGAGTGACTTTAATGGCTTTTAAAGAGACCCTTGAGGAATACGGGAGAGGAGAGTGGAGGAAATAAAAAAAAGGAAAAGAAAGAAAGAGGAGATGAAGGGGGAGGGGAAGAGGAGAGGAGAGACGAAGTTATGAGGGACTGAAGTGGTTTGAAATTACCTGATCGGTGCACCGCGGGACTGGGCGGGCTTCAGCAGGATGGTGATGGTGGTCTCTGTCTCGTTCAGCGGAGCCTCAGACTCGTACTCAGGCATCATGGGGGCTGAGGGGGGAACGTTTAAAAAAATATATTAGACCCGTTAAAAGTGAAAGAAGTCACCTAATTTGTGTAAAAAGCAGATAAATATATATTTAAAGGATTTGAAGACAAAGAGCATTTAAAAAAAATAAAAAAAGATCTGCTGCTGCTCTTCTGGTCCTTTTGGTCTGCCATTATGTTCTCATCTGACAGCAGTGATCTTTTCTGTGAGAACAACAGAAAGATGAATGTTCTCTTCACTCCGACAGGCATCACAATCACATATCCCATTTTTTCACCTGTCATGGCCGTCGTATCGGAGGAGCGGTTTCACCGTCAGGCTGAGTAAAACATCAACTCGTTTCCTCCTGATTGGTTTGGCATTCAGGACATTAAAACACATCCAGCCCCCCCCCCCATGTGTCCATGCATCTCCATCCGTCTGCACCGCTTCATTTGAACTTTCTCTCTCCTCTGCCCCCCCGGACGAGGTAATGAATAATGGGCTTGGCGTGACATTTGGAATGAGACGCCTCTGTGACGTGTTGAAGTGCCGCGTCTCTCTGAGCAACATGTTGTTAAGAGTTAAAGGATGACGGAGGAAAAGGTCGTGCTTAAATCAATGTAGGTGTTGTCAGATGAAACAACGCTGATAACACGCTGATGACCCGTTTACACTCGATCGACACGATGACAGGACTGAGCATAAGTCTGTGTAGCTCAGTGGGTGAAACTGATGCTGCCCATATATAGCGAACAGCAAAAACGTGTGATGAGTAAAACATTTTGTCTTTAATGCACGAGAAGACATTCCAAACAGATATTCCTTCGCATGGAAATGGGCCAACTGCGGTGGTTTGTGCATCTGTTTAGGATCCTCCTGGTCGCCTCCCTTTAGAGGTTTTTTTTCCGGGCACGCCCAACTGGGAGGAGACCCCGAGGTAGAGAGTTAACTGGAGGGATTGTATATCCCGTCTAGCCTGGGAACGCCTTGGAAACCCCCAGGAGGAGGAGTTGGAAAACGTTGCTGGGGAGAGGGACGTCTGGGTTGACTTACTGCGCCTGCTACCAACGCGACCTGACCTCAGACAAGCAGCAGAAAACAGATGATGGATGGATGGATATTGCAAACAAAGCAATGTTTTTCGTCATCATTGCTTATGTAATATGAATTAGCATAATCCCTGGACGTGGTTTCCTGCTGCTCTGAACGAGACGTTACAAGAACCGTGCAAGACTTCTGCCGACGAATCAGAGCAAAGCATGAAGCAAACTTGTTGGACACGCCCACCCCGGCAGCTCTTTCAAGGAAACGCCCAGCAGGAAGCTCACTCAAATTTCCCCTGCGACTGCAAACAAAGCAGGCCAATCAGAGGAGAGTGGGCATGTGGGGAGTGTGGGAGTCTTAAAGAGTCTTAAAGAGACAGTGGCTGAGAAAAGTGAAAGTGAGTTTAATAGATCCTTTAATCATGGAGCCCTGCACATGCAAAGGCAGCAAATGGATTCCAAGATGGTGGTGTGTCTGAACAAGCAGCCATATTGGAAAAGTTGCAACTGAGAACATGTTGCTACTGCAAGTTCAGCAACTCTTCCACAATTGTTTTTTGCCCTCAGTGATAAAACAGACACAAAAAGATCAGAGTTACAGAGATTGTCTGCCAAATTGAAGGTCGGAAAACTACCTCAATGTGGGAGAAAATTTGAAAGGAAAAAAAACACGGTGAGGAAAGACAATCGGATGCCATTTGGGAAATAATTTCTAGAGAAAAAGAGAGCTAAAATTAGAGATGTCAAAGTGATGGAGACGAAGCAGAGAGGCAGAAAAGGGAATTCAGAGATATTAAAACTCCATTCAAAAAACAACTAATATAAGAACCCACAGAGACGTTCTCTCGTTCTATAAAAACAGACGCATTAACATCTGAGGATATTCCACAGTCCTCTCGCCTGGAACGTTTCTTTTTCCGTGGTGCCTTTGACATTCTCCGCAGACAGAGGCAGGTGACATAAACAAGAGGGTTATAAATGGAGGTGAAATGTTCTCCAGACAGACAAACAAAGACGCAAACAGTCTGGCTCATTCACAGAGACAGCTCATGGAGTGTCAGCCCGTCGTTCAGCCAACAAACACGGCGTCAGCGTCTCCTTATTTAACCGATGCTAATGCGCTAATAGATATGAGCGTCCCCGAATGTCAGATAAATGGAGAATGTTTACCGGCTATCTTGGTGCTGATGCGGGTGGTGACGGGCGGGCCGAAGCCTTTGTTGGTGGAGGCTTTGAGGGTGAAGAAGTAGGTGGTCCCCGGGTAGAGACCCACGAACAGGTGAAGAGTCTCGTTCCTCAGCTTGAACACCCGTCCCCTCTGAGTGGTCAGGTCAGCGCTGGGGTCCAACGAGCTCAGGGCCTTGTAGGTAATCTGGAAGAAGAACATAATATATTTATTAGCTGAAATTTATGCAACTTTATTAAGACTTTTGTAGTTTTGAGATTAATTCAGAAACTTTAATGCAAATAATGATCTCCAGCAGCTCCCTGTAGGAGGTCTGTGTGAAGATGGAGGAATATTTCAGTAAGTCTGAGCTCATTTGAATGAATTCATGCTTTTTTTTTTCATTCTCAAACAGACAACAAGCCTCAGAGTGCGACCCTCCCCGCCTCGCCTCGCCTCCACTGTCACACCACAGCCGCTCTGACAAACAAACCGACTCATATTAAATGGTCTTTTTAACTTCAGACAAATCAATGCTGCAGTGGAAGCGATGTTGGCTCTCTCCTTCAGGTCTATGCTTTCTCAACATGATCTCCGCTCGACAAATTGAGCAAATTGACCCGTAGCCACTAAACTAGCCGAGTCACTTCAATAGTTCTTCTGTTAAGAGAACTGTCAATGTCTGTCCTAATGTTGCTACTGGCAAGTTTCCACACTGCACTGCTGCTGCCAATGTCTGCGACCACATGAACACACACACACACACACATCCACACACACGGGAGGACAGCTGTCATTGTGAATGACAGTCAGTACAAAAGAGTATTGACTGATGGGGAAAAAAACACGCTAATAGCGATTCAACCCCCAAACACATTTCTGCACTTCATCAAGAATGTGTGTCAGGGTCTCTGAGTGCATTTAAGTCTGTCTGTCAGCCTCAAAGGGAAGGAAAAAAGGACTGAAAAAATCTTAAGTGTGTGTGTGTAGAGAACGAGAAAGAGGTAGAGATGGAAACAAAAAGAGACAACATGAATGAATCAGCAGGCACCCAATGAAGCGGAAACCTCCACCAACGCAGAACTTTTCCTGCATCCAGCAGACCTAACAGCCCCTGGATAGTTTCATGTTTCCTGACATTTGTCTTCTGGGTTTGATTCTTTGACCCGATAGAGAATTATGTAAGGGGAGAGCTGTTTAGCTAACTGCCAACAAGGAATCCCCAGAGGTAAACTTTCCCACCGACAGGATGGTTTCAGCAAAGCCTGCAAAAACAGGAGAAATCTAAAATTCAAGACGTTCTAAAGATGGGAATGACCTTTACATCAAATCTTGTTCAATAACCTCAACATACAGTCAATCTCCAGTATCTCAAATCATGCTTAAACTGATAGATAAAGTAAACTGACAACTGAGAGTAGGTCTTGCAGAATATCACACTGTAACAGGTATATAGTAGGATTTTATGGCAGGGCAGATTGTCGTTGAAAACGAGTATTCAATGATATTGTCATTGTGCTCTGCAAAAAGCAACATTTAGACTCAGCTATAAAATAGTCCAAAAATGATATTTCTAAGTGCTTCTCCAAAGGTTTGATCGATTTTTCCGAAAGCCAAATATCGCTTGAGTAAGGACAAACAAAACCTTTATGCAGACGACACTGTGACTTACATTAGATGCCCATTCCTGCACCCAGGCTATTGGTAAAATACAGATTTGTTTGAAACTGTTTCAAGAGTCACAAGAAGGCTTTGAGTTAACCCTCAATGAGTAGAAAACCAAATGTATGACTTTTTAGGGCTCATAAAGATAACAGACATCTCTACACGACAAGTGTCAGGATAGACGATTTTAGGGATGTGGTTTGTTGCATGGTCTCTTTCAAAGACACACTCAAACTCATTTGAAGTATCTTTAAACCAAGGATTATTTAACCGAAGCCACACACTTCAATTTTTATTCTAGAAATAAGTCTTACATGTTAACATGATAAAATGTGCATCTTAGACTTTTACGTCTTCTCTTCAGGTTTCTGTTGGTTTGCACCGAACTTTCCCCCTCAGCTTGCTCCCTAGACCTGAAACAATGTGCAGAGTTCCACATCTGAATTATTGAATCCCTTTAGAAATAAGGCCCTTAGGTCAATATAGCGGAGAAATTAAATAGCCGTATTCAAGCTTGGTGCTTGGTGGGTGCTTGTATGTATGACATTCAATGTTAAATGTAACATTGAACTTTCCTCTCAGAGAAGAGTATCAATCTCAAGGCACTCGAACACACATGCACAGTTTAATCATTAAGTATGAATGAGAAAAGAAGGCAAAGATGGACATGAAGGACGTGAGAGTGAGGGAGGACATTGACATTAGAAACATATGTCCTAATGAGCAGGTGCCAAATAACCGTTAACTCAGCTTGGATTCAGCCTTGGAGGTTTTTTGCATTGAAATCTCATTCACCATCACCCTATGTCAGCGACACCAGAATATCTATTGATGAATTACTCATTTTTTTAATTGATTAAATACAGAATAAATGAAAGGAGTTACGCTGCAGAGACTGAGAGGGAAAACTCATACGTGTGGAAGAAGAATGGGACGGACTGAAAAGAAAGATGCGGAAGGACACAGCGAGAAATATTGAGACACTAAGCTGTAAAGAAAATCTTCTAACTAGGTCCAAAGACATGAGCACAAAAACTCACTGATACAAGCCATTCAACATTTCAATTACAGGAAAATCTGGTGTGTAAGACACACTTTGAATACCTTTTTTTTCATCTAAAAAAGTGGGCTGCGTTTTACACACATATCTCCCGTGCAGCCGCCACCATCACAAACTGCCCTCGAGATGGCATGATTGAAAATTCATCCTCATCCATTGTGTATTGCAAGCTGATTGTATGCTGCACTGGGATATATAGCGACACAGACCTGGCTGGCTGCATGTAAAGCAAACGGTTTTTGATTGAAAGACTTCTATATTAAAGTTAAAGAGCGACCAGTGGAGTCGGGCAGCGTACCTAGCTGTCAGTACTTCACAACTTTCACCGTAGGCTGAGAGCTCAACTACCGTAATGTAGCTACTAGGAGCGCAAAAGAGCGACACAGCTGCACAGAAACTGCACGTTGTAGACCTCGCTGAACACAACTCAAATGGTCACACAGGTAGAGAGTCTCTGGGAACCCCCCCCCCAAAAAAACAGACTGCGTCTTATAAAACAGAGTCAGATCAGAAATATGAAGTGAAAGAAAAAAATGGAGGTTGAGAAAAAAAGAAGAATCAACAGCCAAACTCCAAGAGAGAGAGAGAGAGAGAGCAACAGAGCTAACAGACACAGAGTGATAACAAGTGATGCATATGGATGTTTGGATAAAATGGCTGCCTCCGAGGCTGGAGGTGATGTGTCGGTGTGTTTACGTGTGTGTGTGTGTGTGTGTGTGGGGGGAGTGAGGCAGTGGAGCACTCGTGGACGTCAGGCGGCACTCGTCGCTCCATTAGCGGATTCAAATCCAGTGCACTGACAGCTGGCTGCCACGCTCTGACTTCAGGCCTGCAGGCTGGAGTGGTGATGTGTGAACGCGTCACTGTGTGATGTGCAATGTGTGTGTTTGTGTGAGCGAACGAGAGAGAGAGAGAAGGACAGACAGGATACACAAATGTGAGGGTTGAGGAAGAGAAAACAAATCCTTGAGTGAGATACCATAGAAGAAATATCGACCACATTTCAGGCTTGGATGTTTGATAATACAGAGAGTACGTTATCTGTATGCTAAGACTCTTGCTCGGCCAAAGTGGGCCAAACTAAGAGAGAAAGTCCACTTTCCCCTGATATCTCTCAGACAGACAACTAAACGCTCGCTCAGATTGGGAAACTTGGGACCAAACCTTTAGCAGATGGAAGACAGTCGTTTCTTTCTTTCTTTTTTTTTTTTTAAACTGCAGCAGAAAGTCCTCGACAGAGCGGCAGACGTCTCGCAGGCCCGAGAGCGCGCCCCGCTGGCTGAATAAAACATGTTAAATCAATAGCTATTTATACAGACTGGGACTAAGGGGCTGGAACAATAAAACATCATCTATTTCATCTACGCTGCACTTTGAGTTTGCACATCGATAGCTGTTATTTTATAAGTCATGAACGTCTCTGTGTTTTTATGGGTTCTTCTCTCTCGCTCGTTCCTCTTGCCTTACCCCCCCTCCTCCCCCTTTCTCTCCACAATACGTAATGGACTCCCATTCTTTGTTTTATTGTTTTTTCTTATTGAGGCATTTTCTCCACTTTTCTAATATTGCCTATATTTTTTTGTTTTCCGCCTCTTTCTCTTCTCCACACTTGATCTACTCACCCGTTCCCTTTTTCTTTTCTAAATGGAAGAGTTTGGGTCATTAACCTCAGGTGTCCTCTCCACTTTTCCAGCCCCCCCCCCCTTTCTCCCTCCATAGTTGATGTACTTGGAATTGGTAGAGCCATAAAGCTCAGGTTGTTTTATTGACCAATGAAAAGGCAAGGCGCACGGCAGGGCAATGCATCTTGGGCAATAGAGTGTGCGTCTGTGGGGGATAACTCAGCAGAGGGAATGTGCTTTTTGTGAATGTGTGTTTGTGTGATTGAATTAGGATGGAGGAAGTGAGAATATGAGGCGAACAGAGGACAGAGAAATGAGGAAAGATAAAGAAGAGAAGAAGAAGACAGAGTGGGAGAGAGAAGCAAACTAAGGGATGTGCATAATGAGAGGAAGACAGAGAGAGATGATGCTACGATAATACTGATATGGATTACATTATTTTTTAATAGAAAAAGTAGCAGAGAGAACTCCCATGATTCCCCGCCAGCCCTGACGTCATCTTTTGCTATTGTAGTATTGATTGAGAGCGTTCGTCTTGACTACAGTCAACTCAGTTTTTGGTCCTTTCTTCAATGAGGTGTTCTAAAAATGTCACTTAATCGTGCTGTCAAAGCTAGCTTAAATAGAAATGCAGCCGAGGTTAATTATAAGAAATTAAAAAAGGGCAATTTTTGGTTAACCAGTTGATTAGAAACATGGACTCAGGCTGAGGTGATTTCCTTTTGAGCACATTTATGAGTCATTAAAAACAACTTGCTGCAGAGTAAAGGACCAAAGGAGCCTTTTGAGTGTTTTTTACATCTACAATCACTTACATCTACTTTCTTAAACAACATTTTTCAAGCCTGTTACAAATTTTG